TTGTAAATGTTATTCTTAATGTGTATGCCAAGTTTCATTTACTATACAGTACAATAAGTTACAATACACTGCAATACAAATTTGTCTTTATTCATTTTGCGTAAAAGTCAAAATTGGTAAAAAATGTTTAATTTTGTGCAATAAAAGTCACAACAAATTTTTAAAAAATAAACTTTAGTGGATTTTTGTCTTTCTGTTTGTGTATGGTTTGTATGTACTATATTTTTTTCAATGGCTCTATTTATTTAGGGTTATCAGTATTTTATTTTCAATGTGGCAGGACTTAGTTGCCTTGAAACCAAACTCCCTTCACAGATCACATTTATTTGCTCCCACTCAAAAATTACATCTGTACTTAAATGAAGAAATGATACCGTACAAACAATAGTTAACTGTACGGGTACCAACAAGGAATGTGAGAAAGTAAAAGGAGACAAATGGCAAAGGAATGATGTGACCTAATTGAATGAGTTTATTGGCTGCCTTACTGGCCCCTTATTTATTTTATGGATTACTGGAATACACAACTCAAATAACTAACAACCAAACAAAAATGTTCTCAAGTCAAAAAGGTTTTGTTTTTCTATTAAATTTTAAATTATGTACCAGTGTGTTAGACCCAGTAGACAGCTATGTTAAAAAAAAAAGACGAGTCCTCCAAAAATAAGTCTCCTTCTCATGCTTTTCACAATGGCATCCTTTAACTTTAAGATGTTCATTGCAACTACTTTGTGAATTTGGTCAAGTCAAATAGATAAGTTGTTGAAAGGAGATTCAAGATATCAGGAAAAACAGTCAGTGTCCGCATGTATGACTCTCAGTGCCAAGGAAAAGGTTTAAAATTGGTTGTTTTGTTCTGACTAAGCCAATCTCTCTAGAGGAATAGTTGAAATTAATTCATTATGAATGAAATTTTCATTATTTAGAATACCTAATTAATTTATAAAGTACTGTGTGATTAAATCTTTTAACTTAAACAATACACATAAATAATCTTAAATAAAGGATTTAATTTTAATAATTAAATTTAAATTATTACTTTTCTAAAATTCAAATGAAAACAAAAAATGTACCGTATCTAAATTATCTTCATTACTTAGTACTAGATTAAAAAAAAATGATCTACGAAAATGGCTTAAACTAAAAAAGAAAATAAGAAAGAAAAAAAAAAATCTACCCATCTTAAGAAAAATTATAAAATGAGTAAAACAGAGTAGGGTTAAACCTGAAAAAATAAACGCAACAAAACAGCGAACGTGTCGGCAGAAAGCCTTCGTCAGCGAACAAAACAACAGAAAAAAAAACGGTATAAAAATAAAAATAAGAAATAGCACTTAGCTGGTAAGTAGTATCTGTGGGTACCAATAGAAGTGTGGCAGAAGGAAAATGAGTGAGAGTTTAAATATGCAGCGGCGAAAAAAAAAATGTTCACTGTGATAGGTCAGAACGTGGAGGGGCGGAGTTAGGGTCAAGCTGTGAACACATACATAACATTAATCCCATCTGGCGTCAAAAGAAAATAAGAAACATTACACAAGATAAACAGTGTCCCGTCTCAAAACACTTCGATAGTAGCGACCACCAGAGCAAGGCGGACTTTTCAATAAGTGCGATCGTGGTTAGCACGAACACCGCCAGCCGGGTCAATTTGGAACACAGACTTATCCTGACTTACGGCACTTTGACGCCAGATGGGATTACCCCTAAGAAAAATTAATAAAGCAAAAAAAAAAAATAAATAAAAAGAATAAAACTATGAATCTATGAAATAACAAGGAGAAAAAACAATTTAAAAAAAAATAATTATCATACTATTATTAGTATTATTGTTATCACACCCGGCTCCGAAGCCATTTAATCTGTATGGAGCCACTCCGGGTGCGAATAGATATTGATAACTATAGGTACCCGATAACCTATAGATGCAGCCTTTAATTAATTTGATATTTAAATATGTATTATATATTTACCTACCAAATTGTCTCTTATTGATTTAATTCCCCAATTAAAATGTTACACCTTCTCATACTTTCATATTGATCGATTGCCATTTAAGTCTGATGAGTTTGTTTGAGCAACAAGTAATTATATTGTTTGCTGTGTCGTAAACTTTCAGGTATCAACAGCTGGTATTCACCACTTAAAGCAATTAAATCATCTATACGAATTATACAGTATTGACTCATAGCAAGAAACATACATCATAAACTACTCACTAAACTACTGCATTAATTCGATTCAAGCTTTCTTTAAAGTTGACACAAGTACACATTTTCACCCTAATCAACATTAACCATTTAAAAGGGAGCTACCCCTTCATGTAGCATTTATAATCTAGAGTAGTGCCTAGGGTCTTTCAAAGAGTTAATTCCTTGTGGAAAGATAGACAATTCCAGTGGCGTAGCGAGGGTGTTTGGCGCCCGGGGACACGATTCGCGCCCGGGGACAAGATCCATTTTTAAAGCCCCTTTTTCTTTTTTTTTTTCAACGCTCAAACCCATTATTTTCGTCAATAAAATAATATCAAAGCAGATTTTGGCGCCCCTAACTAGCTGGCGCCCGGGGACATCTGTCCCCCCCTGCCCCCACCACGCTACGCCTCTGGACAATTCCCAAATCTTGGTTAAGCCAATATTTCTTGAAGGCATACGTTTTAGATTCCAGTGTATTTTTCTTTTCTCTACAATGGACACGCACACATATGTCTCATGCTTCAGTCTTGAACTGTTAGTTTTAGTCTTTCAAATGTAAAAACCAAATTATATACCACGTACAAACTGCAGGCTACAAGAAAAGTGGTTAATAGAATAGAGAAAAATGTTGGCCCTAAACAAAGTGCTACACAGTTCTATTTATAATTAAACAAACTCTATAAATCATTTACATGCATCTTTTTATTATTCGATAATATACCAAGGTCCAACCCGCCTATGCAAAACTGATTTATTTCACCAATTATTTCAGAAAAAAAGGAAGAAAATATTGCGCACCAAACGCACTTGAGATATTTTTACGAATCTCAATTAGCGCAGTTATCGGGAATTTTATTTCGTGAAATCGGTGGCATCTTATTTTCTTCATCTTCCTCTTGAACAAACAGGAAGAACTGACTTTTGGGGGTTGAAGGTGGGGCTGCAACTTCTTTTAGAATGTGTTGTCATCAGCAACACGTCTAAGCGCCGAGCTTCAGCCCGTTAGGTTGGATGGAAGTGGGTCAATGAGCCACGCGAAGACTTTGCACCACACCCAGCCAGAAATAAACACACGAACAAAATCGAAATTAATATAGAGGATTTAAAAATAAAAGCTGCTTCTTGATCTAATTTTTTTTAAGTGCACTAATTTTTAAAATAATTTTTAAAAAAATAATTTAAATGTAGCTAGTGAAGGTTTAACGTGCATAGATGTTAACGTCTACCATGTTGGACAATATTAAAGATGTCAGGGAGGCAGCAGACATTGGAACGAGAGTATCGCGTCTTGAGTCACAGCCTGGTTACGTCAGCGATGAGTTGCGTCTCTGGTTCCAGGCCATCAATTTTGCCGTTATCTGTGAGCTCATCAACATATTTGGTACCGTGACGAACGCATTGAACATCGCTGTGTTTGTCAAACAAGGCTTCAAGGATTCAGTCAACGTCACTTTGTTAGGTAACTCTGTGGTGTTAGAAGTTAAAGGTAACCCATTGGGGGTAAAGTTAATGGTAACTCATTGGTGGTAAAGTTAATGGTAACTCATTGGCGGTTAAGTTAATGGTAACTCATTGGCGGTAAATTAATGGTAACTCATTGGTGGTAAAGATAATGGTAACTCATTGGCGGTTAAGTTAATGGTAACTCATTGGCGGTAAATTAATGGTAACTCATTGGTGGTAAAGTTAATGGTAACTCATTGGCGGTTAAGTTAATGGTAACTCATTGGCGGTAAATTAATGGTAACTCATTGGTGGTAAAGATAATGTGTCATTAGCTTTAAGACATATTGGTAACAGTTAATCACAAAGTCATGTCCTACTTTCCATGCGTGGGCGATGAATGAGATGCCCCAATTCGGACCAACCGCCTTCTGTCCTAAGAAACATTTCCCCTTTTTCTCTTGAACGCATCCTCAGGGTTGGCTGTATCTGACCTTGGCTGTATGGTGACCTTGATCTGGATGAACCTATGCTTCAACCCACTTTTTCATGATGCTGACTTGCCGTTTGAGACGATGGAGGTCCAGTATTTGACCGGCGGTTGGCCTCACGTCATATTTACCCGCATCACGAGTTGGATCACTGCCTTCATCACCGTGGAGAGGTGTCTGTGCATCGCCTTGCCCTTGAAGGTTTGTCATGTTGCTGACCAATCAAATCAATGTTGCCTCTCTAGGATGTATGGGCGTCTATACATGACGTCACGCAACTTTAACAAAGGGGGATTTGTAGGGGAGGGCAGAGGCGTAGCGAGGGGGGGTCAGGGGGGGACAGATGTCCCCGGACGCCAGCTAGTTAAGGGCGCCAAAATGTGCTTTGATATTATTGTATTGATGAAAATAATGGGCTTGAGAGTTGAAAAAAGAAAAAGGGGCGCTTTAAAATGGATCTTGTCCCCGGGCCCGAATCTTGTCCCCGGGCGCCAAACACCCTCGCTACGCCACTGGGGGAAGGTGGGGTGGGGGTGGGTCCACGAATTTGTGACGTTGTATTATGGAAGTGTCTCCATGTTATGTCGAATTCGGCCGATTTAAAAAAAAATAATTTTTTGTGGTGGTAAATAAAATGGACGAAAATAACATGACGTCATCTATGGATTGCTCAAGAGGGCGGGCATTAATTATAATATTGTTGTTACTAAAACAAAATGTTACTGTTTGAGCTCCATAATTAATCTCAAATTCCGTCCCTGACCAGGTCAAGTCCATTCTTACATCAAAGCGAGTCGCTCTAATTATGATTCTCCTATTCACAAGCCTGATATTCAGTGCCACGCCCGTCTACTACGCCAACAGAATAGGCTGGAAATTTTACTCCGGCATAAACAAAACCATGCTGGGTCTTCTCTACACCGCAGACCGAGAGTACATTGAAAAGGTATCATTCGCCATCAACAACGTCGCCATACCGTTTGCGGCCTTCGTGACTGTCATTGCGTCGACGATAGTCCTCGTTGTGAAACTGCGCGGTAAAACAGAATGGCGTACAAAGTCGGCTGCACCGGGAATCTCCGCATCCTTGTCCAGCCGCGACCAGAGAGTCGCCCAGATGATCGTTGTGATATCTGTCCTCTTCATTATCTGCTTTACTCCAGTGTGTATAATATTTATCGCCATGGCGGCGGTGCCAGAGTTTTCAATTACTGGGGAATTCAAGAATATGTTCTTCATTGTATTTTCATTTGGGTTCATTATGGAGTCTATGAATTCGTCGGTTAATATTTTCATCTATTACTATATGAGCAGTAAGTACAGAGCTGCGTTTAGACACATGTTTTGCATGGGGAAATGGAAGTCAAATTGATCGGAAATAGGCAAGAAGCAAAACCACCAAGAGGAGTTCTGACCAGGGATTTGGAGCTGCGGAGCAGGGTCTTCTTGCTCAGAGCTGGAGCGGAGCTGAAGCTGGGGAAATTTCTTACTGCTCCAAGCTCCAAAATATTTTATTATTTTATTTTTTTTTGTAAAGAAAAAAAGTATAATTTGTATTTTCAATTAATTTTTTACAAATAAATTCATTAAAATTGAAGCCCTATTCATTTACCAGCTCTGTTTCCCATTTTTCTACCAGTTATGTTTTCCACTATTCTACAGTTTTTGTCCCACTCTTCTACCAGCTGTTTCCTCAATCTTGTACAATTATCTTGCTCCACTCTTCTATATGTGACCCTATTATGTTCCTTATTATACGCACATGCACAACTGTTGCCTACTTAAAATTGTAGACTTTAAACTTATGAAGTAGCAAAAAAAAAAAAATAAAAAAAAAAAAAAAAAAAAAAAAAAAAAGGAAGATAAATAAATAAAAATAAAGGAATAAAAATAGCCATTTGTGTGAACGACAGGAAGAAAAAACTTCGTCAATACAATCTGAAGCGGCCAGTGCGATATTAATAATCGAATACTGTAAACCTTTACCAATATTTGCCTAAAATATACAGATCATCAAATATATCGAACGAAGCGATATTTTATTGATTCCACTAATTTTAATCGGTTAAAGGCAGGAGATATTATTCTTTTTAAAACTGTTTAAAATGCCCGTTATATAATAAAAAAAACAACTATATATATCCGTTCTACTGTTTTACACATTTTGCTCCGGGGGCAGTTGACTTTCCAATTTGCCTGAAAGAAACCCTATGAATTACCCACATCGAAAATCCATTCAACTTAAATATTATAGCAAAGAATTAAAAAACTCGCTAAAAGAAAGTACTGACCAGGATCAGCTATAACATGACCTTCGTCGGGTTAACTGAGTGGGAGATGAGCTGCCACGATTAGCCAGGATCTCCATGACGTACAAGATAAACAAGTTGTCTGTTCCACTGCTCCGGGCTTAAAAAGAAACTCACCCCTATGCCCCCCTCCCCCCTCAACCCACCCACTCCCCTAAATAGTGACGAGCCCATGACAAGGAGTTTCGGTTCAAGCAGCAGCAAGAACCAGAACCGCTCATTCCTGCCAAAGACAATCAGTGACTGGATCAAGCTTATAAAGGGAAAAGTTGAGGTGGCAAAACCCTTGTCACATTTGCGTTTTTTGCCCTCCTGCCTTCCAGTTCTTAATGCCATTGCTGAAGAGCCCTCTCATACAGTGCAGCATCCTCTTCGAAACAATGCTAGAAACATTGTGAATCTCCTCTACATACTTGGGAGCCAGGATTATCAATACATTGAACGTGGGCCCTCAAAATCTAGAACAAGAAGAAGTTATTCGTATAAATCATTTATATGCAATATCAATATTGTATTTTACAATAATATTTTATTGACCCCCCCCCTCCCCGGCTCAGCTTTACTCTGCAGATTTGTTTCATCAAATACTTCAGAAAACCCAAGGAAATATTTACGTACCAAACTCATTCGGAGTTGCAAAATTTATTTTTAGCCCATCATTTAGCACAGTTATCTGGCATTGTCCTTTATGTTCTTTTTGAAAAAACAGAAAAAAACTTATTTTTGGGGCTTCGGTTTGGAGGTAGGCTTGGGGCTGACAATTTAAAAAGAATGTGTTGTCATTGGCAACGAGTCTATGTGCCAGGTGGCAGCCCCATAGCTCGAGGAGAAATGGGCTAATTAGCCATCTGAAGTATTTGCCAGCCAGCCAAAAAAAAAGCGAAGTTAAATAAAAAGATTTACAAATGACTTTAAAAATATGAACGCTTTTTGGCCTTTTCTGATTCTAATATTTTCAAGCCATCTAGAAGTTCCATAAACTCAAGTAGTGCAAATAAAATGGCTTTCAAAAAATCCCATTGTACTGTTATATTAATAGTATTATGGCTAACACTCAATGAACACTAACACGTCTGTTCAGCTGCGCGTATATATCTTTATTGAATTTATTACAAGCAAGTTCACGTGACTTCTCAACTCACGACACCACGGGCCTCACGCAGTGACGCAAGCGGGACGCAACTTAACAATACATCAACAGTGATATCACAACTAGAGACCGACCGAAAGTGATTTTCTGATTTCGACCGAAGCCGAAAATAGGCCGAAAGTTGAAAAGGACTTTCGACCGAAACCGAAAAAGGTCGAAAGTTAAAAATGACTTTCGGCCGAAGCCGAAACCGAAGCCAAAACCGAAAATGAAATACATAGATATTTTGAAATTCGTTCCCGCATACATTCTGCATACATCGATAATGATGGTCGAAAGTATAAATATTTACATTCTTTTTATAAAAAACGAGATAATTGTGAATATTAATAAATAAACATCTAATATAGGGGTCTCAAACTCGCGGCCCGCGAGCCATTTGTGACCCGCAAGACGATATTTTGCGGCCCGCTACATGACAGCAAAGTTTAGTGTTGATGCGCCGGCACATTTCCCCATTCTCATATCTATCACGTGACTCTCCGCGACGGTTTCAGTCGAATCTCACCGACTGGTCTAATTCTGATTTTTTAAAAATATTTCTATATATTTTTGTATGATGGTTATAATGGAAAGAACCGTTTTAAAATCGGAATAAAAGTTTTTAGTTGATAGCTTTTTATGAGACAAACATGGCAAAGAGTGCGGCTTTGAGAAAATTTTTTAAAAGTAAGTTGGCGGGTAATGCACAACTATAATTGTGTAAATCGTAGCAATCTGATACATTATCAATGGATCCATATTAAAATTGCCACTAGTGTTTACGAGTGAGGTAAATTCACTTTCTAAATCTTCTTCTTATGCCTTTTTATGCCAGTCTGGGTCTCTGCATTTTTTAGACTCAAAAACTCGGACAGCCACTTTTCAGATTTTTGCCGACCCTTTCTCCTTTAATGTGCAAGATGCCCCGCACGGGGAGCTGAGTGGAAAAAACAGACAAGCATGGACATTTTATTGCATTGCCAACCAAGGTCCCTGAAATTTTTAGGTTGTTCAAGAGGATCATACGACTTTTTGGGAGTACCTATCTGTGTGAATAGCTCTTTTCCACTATGCACTTTAACAAGTCAAAGTTCAGGGCCAAACTTACTGGATCTTCAAGCTATACTGAGAGTCTCAGTTGCTTCCTCACTCAAGCCAAAGTTGCTCAGCTGTGTAAAAAGAAGCGCTCCCAGGTCCCTGGCAACAGTGAGTCGGTGGAAGAAAGTGAATCCTAGTTCTTGAGGACCCTTAATGTTATTATTGTTGTTTATAAAGGTTGAGCAGATTGTAACAGTTGTAATCGCTTTTTTGTGGAATACTTGATGCGGCCCACTGTCATTCAGACACTACCTCCTGCGGCCCTCCATGATGGTTTGAGTTTGAGACCCTTGATCTAATGAATACTTTGGATTTTTACCATTTTAATATAAAAGTAATTTAAATTGCTTTACAATGTTTTAACATTAGTACGGTAGGATAAAATTTAGCAAAATGGGAGGGGGGAGGGGCCAAAATTAATGCAAAATAAACTCTTGAGTGCCTTTGCTTTTATTATATAACTACAACCTAGAACATATACCTACAAGAATTATTGTGGCTCTAATAGAGCCACCTAAATATATGTTATTGACGCTATAAAAATATCACCACAATGTTTCGCTGTTTTCGTAATACTAATGCTTTGTGTTTTCATTAATAGCTTGCAAGATATCACTGTATTAATATTCAACCTAGTAACAACACACTAGTCTTTCCGTGCTGGTGACGTAATGTTTTCTTTCGGAGACTAAACTCTCTCACCCCCATTGGTGGCGAACATTATTTTTTTAAACTGGGTCTCTTAAAATTTGTGTTCTGATCATGGCTCTAAAAGATCGCTTAATTTGTTCTTAAAGACCGGTTAGTTTGTTCTTAAAGATCATTTAGTTCGTTCTTAAAGATCGTTTAGTTTGTTCTAAAAGATCGCTTAGTTTAACCTCAAAGATCGCTTAATTTGCTCTTAAAGATCGCTTAGCTTTTTGTTAAAGATCGTTTAGCTTTTTGTTAAAGATCGTTCAGTTTTTTGTTAATGATCACTTTATTTGTTCTTAAAGATCGGTTAGTTTGTTCTTAAAGACCGTTTAGTTTGTTCATAAAGATCGCCTGGTTTGTCATTAAAGATCGTTTAGTTTTTTCTTAAAGATCGCTTAGTTTGTTGTTAAAGATCGTTCAGTTTTTGTTAATGATCACTTTATTTGTTCTTAAAGATCGGTTAGTTTGTTTATAAAGATCGCTTAGTTTGTTATTAAAAATCGTTTAATTTGTTTTTTAAGATCGCTTAGTTTGTTCTTAAAGATCGCTTAGTTTTTGTTTAAAGATCTTTTAATTTGCTATTAAAGATCATTTAGTTTGTTCAAAAAATATCGCTAAGTTTTTTTTTTAAAGATCGCTTAGTTTGTGTTATTAAAAGATCGTTTAGATTGTACATAAAGATTGCTTAGTTTGTTCTTAGAGATTATTTATTTTGTTCTTAAATATCGCTTAGTTGTTCTTAAAAATCATTCAGTTTGTTCTTCAAGATCATTTAGTTTGTTTTTGTAGATTTTTTAGTTTGTTATTAAAAATTGTTTAGTTTGTTCTTTAAGATCGCTTATTTTGTTTTTGAAGATCGCTTAGTTGTTTCATAAAGATCGCTTAGTTTGT